CCACATTACTCCCATCCCCAGCCATCCAGACCAAGGCCAGTGACATTCACTGAGCTCTCCCAGAACAGCAAGTGGGGCCTGCAGGTGTTGCTGCCCCAAGACAGGGACTTGCGTCCACCCAGCTTGAGCCTCCAGACCTGCACATCCACCAGGCCACACTCCATTCCCCTCTAACTCCTCCTGCCCACCAAGCCAGCACAACAAGCTCATGTCTTGATTCCCTTTGCCCTAGCTGCGTTGCAATAGCCTCTCTTTGCCTCTGTTTTCCTGTCTGTAAAGTGGTCATGGCAGTATCTTTCTCATAGGTTGTAAGGATTAAACAAGTTAGAATGGCCAGGCACAATAGTGTGTGCCTGTGATGCCAGCACTTTGGGAGGCTGAAGCAAGGGGATCCCTTGAGGCCAGGAGTTTGAGACTAGACTGAGCAACATAGTGAGACCTCATCTCTACAAAAGTTTTTTTAAAAAAATTAGCTTGGTGTGGCGGTGCACACCTATAGTCCCAGCTACTTAGGAGGCTGAGGTGGGAGGATCACTTGAGCTTGGGAGGCCAGGGCTACAGTGAGCCAAGATTGTGCCATTGTACTCCAGCCTGGGTGTCAGAGTGAGACCATCTCAAAAATTTTAAGTTAGAATGTGTAAAGCCTGGCTCGGACTAAATGACCAGTTAGCATTTTTTTTTTTTTTATTACAATTAGCATGATTCCAGGTGCTCTCTAGAACCAAAGCCCTAGTCAAATGCTAAAGTAAGCTTCTGGGACATCGACTGCCTTGCACAGCTCTTGCCAATCCCGGCAACTCTGGCACTGGCCGCATCCCTGTTCCTGCAGCAGCTGCCTGGGGCTCTCTTCGAATAGATGGAACCAGCACACTGGCCGCTTCTGAGCCCAAGCATGGCCATGGCCCAGAGTCCCCTGCTGCTGAGCCTGCCTACCAGACTGGATACCTGAGGTCTCACTTCTCACCTAAACTACCCTAGAATTACACATGCTTTCTGTCCAGTAATCACAATAATGAAAGTAAGAGGCCAGGCGTGCTGGTTCACACCTGTAATCCCAGCACTTTGGGAGATCGACGCAGGTGGAACACCTAAGGTCAGGAGTTCAAGACCAGCCTGGCCAATATGGTGAAACCCTGTCTCCATTAAAAATACAAAAATTAGCTGGGTGTGGTGGTGCATGCCTGTAATTCCAGCTACTTGGGAGGCTGGGGCATGAGAATCACCTGATGCCAGGAGGTGGAGGTTGCAGTGAGCTAAGGTGTGCCACTGCACTTCAGTTTGGGCAACAGAGCAAGAGTCCACCTCAAATAATAAGAAGAAGAAGAGTAAGAATTAACACTTTATAGTATTCATTCCTGGCCTCAAGTGATCCTCTTACTCCAGCGTCCCAAAGTGCTGGCATTACAGGCACACACCATTGTGCCTGGCCATTTTGACTTAATATAACTTATGAGAGAGATACTGTCGTGACCATTTTACAGACAGGGAAACAGAGGCAAATAGGCTATTACAACGCAGATAAGGTGAAGGGAATGTCAAACCATATTACCTATACACAATCATTTAATCCTCACAGCAATCCTGAGGGAGGTACTATTATTTTCCCCACTTCACTGATATGGAAACTGAGGCATAAATAAGGTAAGTAACTCAGCAAGTACTCTCAAACCAAAGCAGAGCAAGAATTTGAACCCAGGAGGGTAGCCTCCAAGACCTTTGCTCTTAACCTTCATGCCAAATTCCCTATTTGACCACTGGCTTCTCTAAGGTAGGAGGGCACAGCCCCCAGCACGGAAGAATCCCCAGCCCACCACACTAAGGCTGTTCCTGTCCCCTGCAACACCACCCACACTGCGCCAGTCAGCCTTTTCAAGACATAGTGGCCCCAGGCTCCGGGCTAAGCAAGCAAATGCCACGTCCTGCCCTTCCCTAGGTCCCTCAGGATCTGCCTCACCCCTGACTTGGTATCCGAATTCCACAGAAACATGAGAGAAAAACTAATCAGACCCATGCTCCTAAAACTCTAAATGCCACCAGAAATAGTCTTCAAGTTAAGTCACTGAGGCAAATTTTTACCTGTTCGTGACTAATTATGCAAATTGCACATGCCTTATGTTGCAGAAGACACCTCTTCTATACTTCCCTCATTCTGTGTATGTAAATTTGGTGGAAGATACATTCTCCAGGGATATGCCTAAAACTAACATTGTCATTTGATCTTTTGGAGTTTGCAGTTACTGGGCGATTTCCCGCTAGGGTTGGTTTCCATGATGAGACACTGCTGCCCCCTGGTGGTGCAGCCTCATTCTCCTGCTCTACTTTGTTTTTTAAGCATTGACCTTCCAATCTAAGACCCATGCATTTCAGTATTTTCAATCCTTAGCTGAAGGCATTTCATGCATGCATTCATTCAAACATTCATTCACAATAAATCTTGCTTACAAGTTCTTCCAACTAGCTTTCTTTCTCTTCGTCCCAGCCTTTTCTTTCTTGGCTTCTCTGAAAGAACCCTTTTGCTACAAGACAAGCTTTTTGGTTTAACGCCCCTCCCCCAATCACTTTAAAGTCCCCTTCCCCACAGAAGGGAAGCAGCATCCCATACAGAAGGGAAGCAGCATCCCATACAGAAGGGAAGCATCCCATAGCCAGCTTCAGCAAGTGCAGAAACCCCCTGGCTTTTTAAATTTTCCCTATATCTTACTGAACATTTCTCCTTTTCTAGAATGACTATTCTATCAATATTTCCCAAACATAAAGAAAGGTTTTAATTTGCCCTTTGGAGTTCCCTGCTGTCAGCAATTGCTATTGTTTTGGGAGGGGTAAAAAAGAGAGAGAAGGAAAAGATGTGGGTAAAATCCAGAGTGTCTACACCTGAGCCCCCATAGGAAGCAACCTGCCTCTTTACTTCCCCAGACTGAGACTCAAGAGAATCCCTTGGCTAAGGATTTAGTGCCTCTATGTGACACGGGACCCTATTAGAGGCCTCTAATATTCTTACTGGACCCTAAAAAGCACAATTTGAAAAGGAAGTCCAGGCACGGTGGCTCAAGCCTGTAATCCAAGCGCTTTGGGAGGTTGAGGGCAGATTGCCTGAACTCAGGAACTAGAGACCAGCCTGGGAAACACAGTGAAACCCCATTTCTTCTAAAAATACAAAAAATTAGCTGGGCATGCTGGTGCATGCCTGTAATCCAGCCATTCAGGCTTGTGAAATCAGCCATTCACAAGCATCACTTGAACCCAGGAGGCGGAGGTTGCAGTGAGCCCAGATTGCACCACTGCACTCCAGACTGGGTGACAGAATGAGACTCTCTCAAAAAAAAAAAAAAGAGGAAAAAGATGAGAAATAAGAGGAACAATTATTTTTCATAGTAACAAAGTACAGAGCGTACAGGGCAAAGCATCTTATGTGTAAGAGGAAGTTAGGAAAATAATCTATGTCTACCTAATGGATTTTGCTTATGTTTCTCTGAAAATTACCAGCCATCCTCAGGAGAGGGGTGTCTGTGTGTGGATGCTTGGTCCAAAAGTTATTGGTTGGCAAATTGAGGTTAATCCAAAAGTTCACAAAAGTAAGGAGATTACTGTGCCCACTGTCACTTCTGCCCCCCTCCTGGAGGGCCTGTTAAAGCGCCTCCCTGGGCTCTGCCCCTAAAGATTCTGATTCGGGTTGTTGGAGAGGGCCTGAGAATTGGTTTTTCTAACAAGTTATCTGGTGATACTGATGCTGCTGTTCCAGGAACCACGCTTTGCAAATCATTGAGTTACAAGATCAGCTGCCATCACTAAACCACCTCTTTTATGCATAATTTTCAACACAATTTTAAATGTAGATTTTAAATTCCTTCATGACAAAAGAACCACCCCAAACCAAGGTATGAGAAGCCATAGACTAAACATATCTGCCTAGAATATCAGTTTCACTTAAAGATTTCGAGAGATACAAAAAGTTACATAGTTTCACTGGCAATTTTAGAACACTGTTATTGTTATAATGCAAAAATATATTTTTGAACACGGTGCATAATTTAGTGGAATTCTGAGGACAAAATAAGACTTCTAAGATCCCTCCTTTTTCAGGGAGCATCTTTCATGTTGCCCCCCAGAAATGTGCAACACTGCTGCTTGCCCTGCACTTCTAGGGGTGTGTACGTGTGGGTACGCGTTGTATGTGTCTGTGCATGTACATGTTATTCTGTCCTCTATGAGGATTGTTTTGTTTTGGTGGTGGGGGTAGAATAACCCTTGATAAACAGTTTTAAGCATTGCCAATTACTAATCCCTTAGGTGAATTAACTTAGCAATTATGTTCCACGAAATTAGATGTGAGTAGAGGAGGCAGAAAAAAAAAAGTTCTAAGCAGTGGGGGGTGGGGGGTGGAGTAAAGGAGGGAGAATAACAAAGGTAGCTTAACATGGCATTTCAGACAAGGATGGTGTCCGGGGAAGGCAGGCAGGGGCCTGGGCACAGAGAGGCATCCTGACCCAAACACACACCATTGCCTTCTAACTTACTTCTGCTCCACTCTGTTCACGTCTAGGTACCCTAAGCATCACCCAGCTACAGGAGGGTATTTCTTAAGCCGTTTGTGAATATAAAAGAAAACATTTGCCAAGCACCCGCTTAGATGGTTTCCTTTTCTGCTCCTTCAAGTAATAGCATCATAATCAATTTTTTTTCCTTCCCTGGGACTTCACCACAGTGGATACCTCCTCCCAAACTCTGCTGAACCCCGGTCATTAATCCTGGTTGCCAGAGTTCACTGAAAATCAAGGTGGGAGCCCCTAGAGCTAACATACCTGATGGGTCGAACTTTACCTTAAAGGCTCATTTCTCATATGTATTTCATCTAATATATAAACCTCATAAGAACTAAGAGCGTGTGTTGTAAATTTATGGGCACCTCTGAAGAAAAAGACTCAAGAGTCAGAGAAGACCAGAGCAACAACAACAAAGCCTTAACCTACAGAATCCCAATCCCGTCCCGCAGCGGGCTCTACCTGTGTGATGAACTCCGGGAAGCTGAGGATAGGCCCGTTGTGGAAGACTGGATAATAAAAGACATAGGCCAGCATCCAGGGAAAGGAGTAGGAGGTACATGCAGTGGGCAGCTGCCGCCAGCAGAGCTCCAGGCTGAAACTGGTGTAGTAGAGGCAGCGAACTGTCAGCGTGAAGTGCAGCAGGTAGTACTCGTTTTCCGTCTTGTACCACCTTCTCTACAAAACCAAAAGGAGAGAACAACCTTTGAGTGGTCAGAAGGGACATCGTCCAGTCCCACCGCAGGCGCTGGCCAGCAGGACCTCCTTCATCTGAGAATCCCAGGGGGCTCTGGGAAGGAGACCTCTTCTTCAGGTAGAGCAGCTGTCCCATAAGAGGGAGTCAAGAACCAATGAACACCAGGTCAATCTCATTGGCAATCCAATCAAATTAATGAGCAGCATTTGTGTCATAAGAGGGAGTCAAGAACCAATGAACACCAGGTAAATTTCATTGGCAATCAAATCAAGTTAATGAGCAGCATTTGTGCCATAAGAGGGGGGTCAAGAACCAATGAACACCAGGTAAATCTCATTGGCAATCCAAACAAGTTAATGAGCAGCAGGTGTGCCACAAGAGGGAGTCGAGACCCAATGAACACCAGGTAAATCTCTGGTAATCAAAGCAAGCAGTTCACGAGCAGTAGGAAAAAGAACGTCTCTACTATAAACTCAGCATTAGGACTGACACAACATAAGGAAGGTTTTCCCAGATATGCATCAATCAGATACATCAAGGGCATAAATAAGGTGCAGATTAGCTATATCCAGTGGATACTTTGACTTCTTCTTCAACAATTCAGATGACAAAGAGGGGCTTAAAATATCCCCTGAGATTTCTGTCTTCAACATTTTTTTTTTTGCTCTTTTGTTATCAGTGTGGCTGTATATTTAGTTGAGCAGCATTTGCCAAATAAGCTATACAGACAAATATTTTTAAGAACCAGTCCCTGCCCTCAATATGTTTAAATTCTCATATAGGACATAGGTGTGTACAAATGCAATTACAATACAGCATGAAACAGGAAATAACAAACCTGCGCAGAAATATGCATGGAACAAAAGACAAGAAGGAAATACAACAAAATGTTAATATCGGGGAGCAAAATCATGAAGCATTTTCTAATTTCTATACTTTTCTGTATTTTCCATGTTTTCTAAAACTACATTTAGTGAGGAAAACTATTTATGGAAATATATACAAGAAATAGAGCTTGGGTCAACGGAGAAAGTAATTAATTTGATTCATCAGGGTCTTTTAAGGCTGTACACAGAAAAACCAACCACTGAACAAAGTTTCTACTTCTTATACAAGACGTTAGCAGCCACCAAGGGGAAAGAGGATAATCTTATCAAGAGAACCACAGGTGCAAAAGCATGGAAACCCAGCTAGTTTCTAATCATACAATCTCCTTCCTCAATGTTTTTCAAATCACTGTAAAATTTGCAGAACAAATGAATATTTGTTCATTTCCAACATCCATAACTGATGCTAATTGTCCCCAAAGAAATGATTAGCACAATTAGATTGTTTGTACACTTGCCAGGCCCCCAAAAAGTTGGGTATGAATTTGTTTTTATTTTTACTGTAAGTCCATTTTTAAGCACACTTGCTTAAATGGTTGCCTAGTTAATCATTCTGGAACATATACTTTGTCAAAATTGAGTGATTATCTGATACACTCTCCTAAATCCAGATTCTGACATATGTGCTTAAAGTATTAGCCCCACATCATTAGTGAGAACAAAAAAAATTAAGGTAGATTAAAAACAGCAAAAAATACTAGAGCTTTCAAAATGCTGCCATTTTCACAAAATTACAAAAGTGATGATCTTGTTTGACTCTCAGAACAATCCGCTGAGGAAGAAAGAGCATTTGTTATTCCATTTTCCAAACGATGAGAGACTCAGAGGTTAAATGTCTACTCCAGTCTGGAGAGTAGGAAGAGATGGGAAATAGAAAAAACTAAAAACCAGGTTATCCAGCTAACCTTTCCCATCATGTTCCTTCCCATCATTGTGCTGATCCAGGGCACATGAACGCTAAGTGCAGTCACCTGGATCAATGAATGAGTGAGTGAATGAATGAACAAAAATAAAGATACCACAGGAGTTCCAGTTCCACAGTGATGGAAGAAAGAATATCCAAGACTTCCCAAGATTTTGAATGTGCCTCTGGAGATCCTGGGGGTTAGAGAAAGGGATAGGTGTGTGCATTGTCCCCAAATCTCCATGTGACTCCTGGTCACTTACATGCTACTGTTTTATCGTGTCCCCATTTGTAAGAGCCAGCAGCTCTCAGAACAGTATGTGACACTAACTGATCTGTTTTTCTGTAGCTCTTTTTTATTCCTTACCTTTAGAGACGGAGTTTCTAAGCTATACTTGGAAAGAGAATCAGTGGACAGGGATGATAGGACGGTTGGTTCCAAGAGACAGGGTAAACATATGTAAATGTGTAAAGGAGAAAGGTAAGCAGATTGGCCTGACTCAGAAAACAGTTCCTGCCACTAGGGCAGTGTTTGGGAACCAGCCTAGGGAGAAAAAGGTCAATAAAGGTGGGAAACATCAATGGTTCTGCCCTGGGCCATGATCCCCAAGTTTTCCAAGTTGCCCATCTTTCATGCTGTCTGTTCTCAAAGTTGACTGATGCCGAAGCTGAAGGGCTGTGAAGCCAAGTGCCCAGGACCAGACCCTGGAGCTGGGGCCCTGGACTTGTGTTCTTCTTGCCATGCATTTCTACCTTAAGGGAAAGATCCCACTTCTGGATGCTTGTGAGCTCCCCACAGACTCTCCCTTTTCTCCCCTGCAGCCACAGATCTGATGGCTTCCTTGGCAACTGTCTTTGATGACAAGCCCTGTTCTCCAACTAGAACTTGTAAAGGGTGTATTCAACAGACAAGTGAGAGAAGGAAGCTCATACAGCCTGGGTGGGCCTGAGACAGCCTGAGGGGCCTAAGCGTCATTTGCACAAGCAGGGCTAGGTCACTCCACACAGAACCAGATAGTCTGGAGCTGTCCAGGGGATGCTGCCCACTGCCCAGGAGATGATCAGAGAACGACAGAAATCAGAAAATGCAGTGCAGGAAGAACTTGCGGATAGGTGCTATGCGCTCAGCAAAGCAAAGCAAACTCCTTAACTCGGAAGGCAGTCTCTCTGCCATCCAACATCCTCTGGGCCAAGTCTGATGCACACTTACAAAATTAAAATGCACTATTATTGTGAATAAGAAAAGAAACATGAAGCTAAAAGGTAAATGCCTATAAAAGAAGAATATACTAATGCAAACAAAAGCCATAAAGAAGGGTGGTTTGAGCCCAATATTCTCCTCTATTTGCACCAACAACTAACAGGTGATTGAGTCTGTCAAAATGCCCCTGGTTTACAAAAATGAAACCATGGTCTGTGCCCTTTGGGGCTAAAGACTGTTTTCACTTATCTAAATTGTAAGAGCTTCCACTGGGGCACATGAGTAGATATTAAATCAGTTCCTGGCCAGATACCGTGGCTCACACCTGCAGCCCTAGCACTTTGGGAGGCTGAGGCAGGTGGATCACATGAAGCCAGGAGTTCGAGACCAGCCCTGCCAACATGGTGAAACCCTGTCTCTACTAAAAATGCAAAAATTAGCCACGTGTGGTGGCAGGTACCTGTAATCCCAGGTACTTGGGAGGCTGAGGCAGGAGAATCGCTTGAACCAGGAGGTAGAGGCTGCAGTAAGTCAAGATCACGCCACTGCACTCCAGCCTGGACGACAGAGACTCCATTTCAATTAATCAATCTGTTCCCTCAACTAGGAAGAAGAAAAACACCTGACTTACCACCACAGGGCCAGGTAGGCATCAGATGAGTTGAGGGATGTGCATAATCCCTATATATTGTACAGCACTCTCCAGATGATTGTTTAGTAAATCATCTGTTTATGTCTTCTCTCTTTGTTCCTAACCCTCTGGTCCTGTGACATCTGGCACTCCACATGCCCACCCAAACTGGGAGAGATGGTACAGGGTTAGCCCTGGGCAATCTCACAGGGCTAAGATACAGCCAGAAAGGAAAGGATTGCAGAATGCACCACTAGGGCTCACATGTAGCAACCCCATATGACCACTATGGGGAGCCCCATCACGGTTCTACAATCATCTCTGGTCTGAAAACTAAGGTGTCTACTGGGATTAAGGCAAAGCCAAAGGGGCCTTCTCTGGATTCCCAATGGCAATGGGAAGACACTTACCTTAACTTCCTCCACACCCTGCAGCCTCAGTGTGGAGAGCAGGAGGAGAGAACAGAGCCATGACAGGAGCTGAGACCGGAACTGGGCCACGCAGAAAGAGATGGTGGTGTGGAGCAAAACCATGGCCACGCCAGGGGTCCCCAGCACACACCAGCAGGCCCACATCCCATAGAGCATGAGAATCCAGGGTCTGTGCTGCAGACAGGGTGGGCCCATCCAGAGAGATGGGGAGGGAGAGGGGAAGGAAGAAAACAAAGTGACGTGAGTTCATGCAATTGCTATTGAAGGTTCTACACAGAAAAGGATCGTGTTTAATTGCCCAATAAAGAAACTATTCTCACTGCCCTGGGAATCTGGTACAACACAGAGAAACAATATTCAGAGGAACTTTCCACAGTAACCCTCAGAGTTCCATCAGCTCCACCCAGAAGCAAGTCACCAGTCTCCTGCCTTCAACCAAAGCCACCCAGACCCCTGGGTTGTACAATAAGATATTAGATTGACTTTTCAACAGACACAATGGAAGCCAGAAGATAGCTGGAAGACTGCCAACTGGAATACCACATCCTGCGTACACCATCCTTCAAAAGTGAAGGTGAGAGGAAGTATTAGTGCACATTTCTAGGGAGACTTCTTAAGAAAACTGGGTCATCCAAGCCACAAAAGGTTTTCCAAAGTCTAAGCCAGAGACTTTAAATATGTGTTTTTTGTTACATCTTTGATTTTTTACATATTGATTACAGTCAAATTTATGTCACAGAAAAATTGCATCTTTTTGAGCTAATTGAGGACTTTGCATAGTCTTCCTGACTGATATGTTTATTCCCATTTTAGGAGAATCACAGATTTTTATCTAATCAAGTAATTTATAGTTATCACATTGAACAAGTAGATGAATTAACATGTCTTTGCTTTATGATATAATCTTGGTCAGATCTGATTGGGAAATCCTTATTTAAAAACCACAGTGTTTTAACTTTGAGACACAGGATACCACTGTGGTTTAATGATTCAAGCTTTGAAGTCCAACTGCCTAAATTCAAATGCTTGTGTCTCAACTACCTGTGTGATCTTAGGCAAATGACTTCATCTCTCTGTGGATTCGTTTCTTCATATATAAAACTGGGATATAACAGCATCTCCTTCACATGTGCATACCCAGGAAGGACTCTACAAATACAGTTATTATCTCCAAAGGGAAATACGATGTCTCACAGGCATGCATTTTAAAACATGGATCTCAGGAACACACCAAATTGAAAAGTGGAAAGTGCCTGAATTTAGGTCTTCCTGTGGAAACAAAGACTTTTTTCAGGGCAAGCCAGATGTGGAGTATAAATTGTAAATCCCATGCTTAGATGCTAACTCTTCCAAAATACTGCCTACCTACTATCCTTTTCCAAACCTATACTCTCACGCTCAAGAAAGAACATTTTAAATCAGAGACTAGGTCAGCCATTTGTAAGTTCCAAGAAAACCAGAGAAATGTGAAGCTCATTTTTACTATTTTTCCATCCTACCCACAGAAAACAGCCACACAAATTTGCTTCAAACACTCACGTCTGGGCAGAGTCCAATTACAAGGAAAACGTCGCCAAAGAATATTTTAAGAGGTAGTTTTAACAAATGAAAAAAAGGAGGTTCTTTTCCAACATGACCTATAGCATTTACCAATGGAATTCTTTTTCGTGCATGTGTGGCTACATATACGGATACCATTATGTTTTTATTAAGTGCTATTTGATCCTTTGGAAAAAGCCTGTTTGCTGGGATTCATTTGGGAGCTCACCACAGACTGAAGCTGCTTCAATTTGGAAAACGCTGAAAGAACCATCAGGAAATACTTGATAGTGCTGTGTAACCCCCATTTACTTGAGAGACTCTATGATGAATTTAACAGTGGTCTCCAAAGCCACTTTGAGGCAGACAAATTTGTCCCATATTCATCCTCCTACAGCCAAACAGTCCAGGCGGACAACATTTAATACTGTTCTAAGACATCACAAAACTCGCTCTCACATGAGCCTCATGTTCTCTACCCACCTTAATATTACCACTGATTCTCCCCCAGTACAAGGAACTCTGCTATATACATTCATGGTACACAGGCAATGAAAAGGAAAAGATGTGAATAATGCAAAAAGAATCACCTACACAAAACTGCTGTATAGATTGGAACTCCACTAAAATGTTGATTTTCATACTTTGTCTATTAAAATGCCATTGGAATGAATCCTATCCACAAAACATCCTTAAAATCCCACAAGAGGAGAATCACTTGAACCCAGGAGGCGGAGGTTACAGTGAGCCAAGATAGCGCCATTGCACTCAGCCTGGCAGACAAGAGTGAAACTCCATCTCAAAATAAATAAACAAAAAACAAACAAATAAGTAAATAAAATTCTGCTAGAGCAGAATCAGCCTCCTAAGTCTTGCAATCCAGGATGCAATCTGGCATCACGGCAGGGCAGTCCCCATTACAGATGTAGCCCATAGGGCACAGCTGCCCAAACCCTATCCCTCCCATGTGTACACCTAGATCAGAAACACTATGAAGAGGGATCTAGGATAAAAGGGTGGCGTGGCCCAGCAGGGTGAGCTGCAGCATGGATGGCCTGCTTCTCTGGGAAGCAGAAGAGCTTTTTCTAAGCATTTCCAAGACCAGTTTCACAGGCAAAGGCCTAAGGAGAGCCCTGTCCTATCCATCTCTACTCCAAATGTGCTGATTTATCAACATTTTTTCCTCTCTTAAAAATGCTTACCAGGCCGGGCGCGGTGGCTCACGCCTGTAATCCCAGCACTTTGGGAGGCCCAGGCGGGTGGATCACAAGGTCAAGATCGAGACCATCCTGGTCAACATGGTGAAACCCCGTCTCTACTAAAAATACAAAAAAATTAGCTGGGCATGGTGGCGCGTGCCTGTAATCCCAGCTACTCAGGAGGCTGAGGCAGGAGAATTGCCTGAACCTAGGAGGCGGAGGTTGTGGTGAGCCGAGATCACGCCATTGCACTCCATCCAGCCTGGGTAACAAGAGTGAAACTCTGTCTCAAAAAAAAAAAAAAAAAAAAAAAAAGCTTACCTATCAGTATGAAGCCTCTGACATCAACGAGGCCAGAACTTTAACTTTTCAAAAATAAAAAAAATAAAATGTGTAAATGTGTTGCATTTTATTCCAAAACAACACTTCTGACTCATCACTAGAAAGGCTTATAGATTTTTTTTTCCAAGTTCTCGGGTAGTAAGAGCAGATCCACAAGATTTGGTCACACACATGCTCTATGTCAAACTCAAGTTTTAAAACCCACCTCAACACCAAAATAGCCCAGTTCATTTAAATTACGAGGTTCAAATCATGAATATGATTGGGAACTACTTGTTACTTGAAAAAAGACACGAAGAATCACATTGATCACATAAAGTATATAAGTAAAATATGGCCTTAATATTGGACTGTGATGTTTCTGATTTATAAATTTAGACTCCAATTGCATACAACTTTTATAGAATGTTCTTTGTCTAAGATTTTTATTGAGATAGTTGTATTCACAAATACGTACAAAAGAGATCCCTTGTACACTTTACCCAGTGTCTTCCTATGACACGTTTTAAAACCATAAATATCACATCCAGGATATTGATGTTGTTGCTATGCACCAAACTTTTTCAGATTTCCCTAGAATCACTTGCATTAATTTATGTGTGCGTGTTTAGTTCTATACAATTTTAACGCATGCATAGGTTTGGTATCTACCACAGTAAAAATGCAGAACGGCTCCATCACTACAAGGATCCCTTGTGTTGTCATTTTATACCACATTTACCTCTTTCCCATTGCTCTGATCCCCCCATCCCTAATCCTGACAACCAATAGCCTCTTCTCCATTTCCAAGATTGGCTTTTTTGACTCAGCATAATTTCCTGCAGATTCATCCAAGTTGCTGTGGGTATTGATGGTTTGCTCCTTTTTATTGCTGAGTAATTTTCCATGACATGGATATACCACAGCTTGTTAGCCATATACCTACTGGAGGCTATCTAGGCTGTTTCCAATTTGGAGCTATTACAAATAAAACTTATGCCAACATACATGTGTAGATTTTTTGTAAAAATAAGTTTTCACTTCTCTGGGATAAATGCCCAAGATCACACTTGCTGGGTTGCAAGGTAATTGCCTGTTTAGTTCTATAATAAATGACAAAACAGCTTTTCAGCATGGCTGTACCATTGACCTTTCCCACCAGCCATGCATGTGGGAGCCGGCTTATTCACATCCTTGCCAGCATTTGGTGCTGTTACTATGTTCTATCTGAGCCATGCTGATAAGTGCGTAATGACATCTCATTGTGGTTTTAATTTGAATGTATCATGCTCTTTTAAAAAGTATCAAAGCATGAGTGACCTGAAGCTTGAGACGAGTTTGCTGAGTATGGGATGACAGCCCCACCAGAACTATTCTGACCTACCTTAATGCTCTTTATTCCAGGTTCTTCATTTCTAATAGAAGATGAAACAGAAAGCAGGGGAAGAGAGGACATGCTTAAAAGTCTGATGAAAAATAAAGTATACTCTATTTTGTAGCAGTGCAGATAAAGCCAGACTAAGAATGCTATGGCCTCTCTGATGAGACATAGATCTTACTACCCCGCCAGTTGACGTAAGCAAGCATCCTTCCCCTCAGCTCCCTGGGTCTACACTGAACCACTCTCAAAACCACTCTGACTCTACTTGTTTCCCTTAACAGGCTAAACTCCTGCCTTGTTTAGATTACAGTAATGTCAGCCCAGAATCCAGCACAGTGCCTAGCACATATTACGTGTTTCATAACTACTGGAAGGATGGATGGAGAGAATACTGGCATGGAAGGACAGCTGGTAGATGGATATACTTTCCTAAGTCTTGGGATTTAACCTTGTGATCATCTAAGGAGTGACAAGAAAATAGCACTAAAATTTGGGGTTTGGAACCCACTAACGTGAAAACTGACTTTCTTCCAAAGTCTCTGCTTGTCCTACTTAACCCCTTATAAACAAAGGCTGTTTTGCCAATGTCAGTAGAATGGAAGAGAGACATTTCACATCTCACTGCCTATTACCTGTTTGCCACTCACAGCATCTCTTAACTCTACTTCGGTTGGGGGAAATCTCCAATAGTTAACAGCTGACAGGGCATAGGCACCAATTCAGGACAGTAAATA